ACATTCAGGCAAAAACAATTCTAATATGTAATATCTTAAGTATAACATGAAAACATAGTTGGCATGATCTGTAAAAACTATGTCACTTACTGATATTACAGTTCCACATTTCTCATTCATGCTCAAATGAAAACTTCTTAAGTGCTGGCCCATTACAGAAGAACACACAATGTCATTAAAACCCTATGCCCTGGGGCCGGGCACAGTGGCTCATGCCTGTAATCTTAGCACTTTGGGAGGCTAAGGTGTTAGGATTGCTTGAAGCCAGGAGTTGGAGGCCAGCCTGGCCAACTTAGCATGACTCCGTTTCTAAAAAACAAAAATAATTTTTTAAAACCCTAATACTAGGACTCAAGGCACCAAATTCTACCTCTGTGCTGTCAAGTAAGAGAAAGTCATTCCCTTGACAGACTCCAACAGCCCTTACCAAAAAGCCTAATCTGATTCAGCACTATTAAGATAATCATAGTGGTGTTTTCACCAGGTTGGGCTAGTCTTGCAAGAGTAAAGACGTAAATTGCAGCATTCCCAAACGGGAAGGCACAACACACATCAATCTTTCCAAGTTTAAATGGGCAGTTTGATGGCACTGGGTAGAAGAGTTTATCTGCTTACCAACCTGCTTTTCTGGAAGTTTGCAGAAACAACCAGCTTTTGCACTGAATTAACGGAAGTTTTTATTTAAGGACTATTTCGTAAGTGCTTTCAGAATCTTTATTCAGAGATCTAAGTGTCCCCTCTTTCTACAGATGTGAAATAAGGAAAAATGATGAAAGGAGGGATAAATTCAGTTCCCTCTGTTGCAGGGGCTGCTATGAAGCAGGGAGGAAAGAGATGTGAATTCTCTTGAATTAATGGAAAGCTATTTTCATGTCAGCTGATAGAATTTCATGGGGGCTTTTACAAACAATTTAAAATGCATCAGCTTTGGGTGTGCATGTGATTACAGGTTGTTGAGTCTGTATGGCTTGTCATTTGAGGACAAAGCCCATTCCCTATTCATTCTTACATGCCCACTGCCTTCCACAGTGCCCAGCTAATAGGCTCATACTTCACTTACTAACACTTAATCAAATCCAATGGGTAAATGAAGACATTGAGATCTAGCTTGTCATAAGAACTACATTTTTCTTTTGGCTCAATTCCTCTTCTCTACAAATAATAACAATTAATAATAATTAGCTGGTTTCACATGACAGGCAATATTCTAAGTGTTTTGGATTCTAACTTATGGAATCCTTATAATGACATTAGGAGGCTCTACTGTTACCTCTACATATATGTGTAAGCTGAGGCACAAAGAGATTAAGTAACTTGCCCAAGATACTGTAGTTATTGTGTGTATGACCCATAACGTGAACTAAGGCAACCTGGGGCTGGAGCTGGATTCTTAAACATTCTTCTATGCCATTGAAGGCACAAGTGAGTTAAAAGGAAAATGACGAAATTGGTGCCTCTCAAAAATTTTTTAAATCTTCAGTATCTACGCAGTTTGTTATCTCTTGCTACTTTAGATTTTCACTGAGAGAGCTTTATTGATAATTAACTAGACTTTTTATCTTTTAATAAATGTAAAACAAATCTCTTTCCCATAGCACACAGCTTTGCAAACTTTACCTCTAATAGTGAGAGATAGGCTCTACGCTTTTAAGATAATATTTTAAAGCAGTATTTCTACTAGTTCTCTTGGAAATCCTAGTATGTGAGGAATATAATAGAGTGAAATATTTGAAGACATAGTTAAATGTCTTTTTGTTTATTTTTTCTATGTGTCTAAAATACAACTCAATATTTTTCATTGCAATAGAAAGAACAACAATTGCTTCCAATGATAAAGCCCAGCCTTTAATTGGCAACAGACGCTGGCCAGCAGGCTCTGAGCATTAAAGCACTGTCCCTTGGTGTGTGTGTGTGTGTGTGTGTGTGTGTGGATTAAAGTGGAGGGGGTTCTGAAATCCTACTTACTCTTCTAATTTTTAATTTCTACTGGTAATAATTAAATTCACTTAAAAATTCTTGCAGCATTTAAATCTCATTTCAGATTAAAATGGTGGTGGTGGTGGTGGTGGTGTGTTTTGTTGCTTGCTTTTTGTTTGGCTCTGTGTAGGGACTAATTTCTGTGCTGCCACCTTTCCAAAGTTCACTTCTAAAATAACTGCCATTTCCCAGTCCAGCTGGATAAAACAGCGTTGTATTAATGTTTTAAAAGCATTGACTATGGTGTTAGCACTTATGCTTTCAACCACCACATACTTTAGGAGTAACAATCAAATCCCTTGACTTCATTTGCTTCGTGCTCCATATCTGTGCTATGGGAATCATGATAGTCCATTTCTTAAAGAGTTGTTTCTTCATTCATTAATTTATTTTGCAGGTCAGCAAAGAGTTCTTGAGCATCTGCAGGGGCAAGCACAGCTCTAGACATCAAAGAACCTGCAATGAATAAAGCACGTCTCTTCTGGAAAATTACAATGTAATGTTGCAATTAAGTTTTTTTACTGCATGTAAAACCCTAATGCATACATTTGTCTGATACTGAAAATACATTACTACCCATTTTAGTAATTAACATTTGTCATTTGCTTTGTCTATGAGAGTTTAAAAGTATGAACAGACATATTTTCAGCTCTTAGGCCCTGATTATCTCTGGGAGATCACAAGGACTACTAACTTTAAAAAAATGATGAGTGGGAGAGTAGAGGGAAGCACAATGCGGGTGATTAATAATAATTTTGTTTAGGGCTCTGTGAAAAGCTGCATAGAAAGGGTATTTGATATTTGATGTTTGAACAGAATGTGAGGAACAAGAATTGACAACTAGATAAGAATGGAAGGAGTAATCTAGGCAGAAGGAGCTGTATGAGCAGAAGCTGGGAGGTATGAAGCTTCATGACATGCGTGGAAAACAGGAGCAAAACAGTCTGACCAGAGTAGAGAGCACCAGAGGTGGCATAGGAAAGGCAAATTATGGCACATTATAAACAGCCTCAAGGGCTGTGCAAAGTCAGAATCTGGAAATTGTCCTAAATATAAAATGGAAAAATATGAAAGTTTTAAATCAGGAAATGAGAGAATCAGGTGTTCACTCTAGAAAGTTAACAATTAGCAGTACAGATCAGAGCATGAAAGCCAGGAGATGAGTGTGTACATTATGATTTTAGGTAATAATTTAGGTAAAATATAAAAAGTAGCACAATCAGTTGAGAGGGTAGACAGATTACAAAATCATTTTGAAAGAGGAGAAAAAAGAAAATTTGGTGAAAAGAAGTAGATAAAGAAGAGACTGAGGAAAGCAGATCTTTCCAAATCACCTTTTGAAGGTGATATTAAATATTGAAGGGCTCAAGAGTTCGGAAGGACAGAGAGAGAGAGAGATGGGAAGAAAGACAGGGAAAGAGCAGAGGTTGGGGGGAGGGAAGAGATGGCTGGAGATAGATGGATATAATGCCAGTAGTTTATACATAAATAAATATATATATATATATATATATATATATATATTCACATATATATTACTATGTATACACACCATTTGTCATCATTTTGAGAATGTCTTGTTAAATGGCTAAGTTGTTATAATTTTTAAAAGTCAGGAACTCAAAGAAATAAAAAATGGCACATGAAGAAAGAGGGTACAATAAAGAAATATGGTCCAATCTCACTAAACACAAATAAAATAGATTCACAGATAAAGAGGGCACATAGGGAGACTACAAGTGAAATTAATGAATAAGACCAGAGAACTGAAGACACAATTGAAAATGGCATCACAGAGAGAAATACATATTTTTAATCACACATTTTAGTACATTAAATAGAAAACATAATCTAAAAACTAGGGATTAAGGAGGCTCGGTGAAGTAGGCAATTATGATTTCACTTTGCATATGAGAAAATTAAGGCTTAGAGAGGCATCATGGCCAATAAAGAGATCTGATACTTAAACTCCAATCTCCAACTCTTTTTCTTTTAAATAATCTGAAAGACCTTTCCATTGTATTACTCATTATCTTTTAGACATCAGTAAGATAAGGTACCTAGTGAGATCATAGAATACTGACTTACTCTCTTTTGGAATGACATGGACTTGGTAGGATACTAACAGAAAGCAACTGTGTTTTTACTTACCATTCCTGTTAACACTAGCTACTGCATAATAAATAATTATTAATATGACCAGCAAAGTCCAACATTAAAACTCAACTTTCTACCAATTAAAAACATCCGAACTCCTCAGCTTGGGCCTGTCTTAGGTAGGAGGTACTGGCTTGTTGTTTCTTCCATACTTGCTCTAGTTTCTGGCCCCTTCAGAATGAGCAAATTGGGGTGACAGGGAGAGGATAGGAGACAGCAAAGATACTAAGAGACTGGCAGGATTTTAATTTGATCTTCTGGCTCTTTCTCTCACAAGGTGCTTTTGTGGATTTCTCAGAATTGTCTGTCATCAGTGGGGACCTCCAATTACAGTTTCCTGGAGGTGAAAATGTCTCCTTCAGGCTGGCTAGCAGCCTATAACAGCCCAACACCTTTCACTTCTGCATCTGGAAATTTCCCAGGCTCCTTTTGAAGCATACCCTTCACTCTGAGTGAGATCATCTCAAGACATCTCCCTCCGTCATCCATCATTGGTGCGGTTGAGACTGGCTCCCACTGTGGCCTCCTTACTTAGTTACCAACAAACCAACCTGTCTAGAAGTTAGTGTCTGTCATGTGTCCCCCAAATCACAGGGACACATAACCCAAATTCTTTGATAACTTCTCACCAAGCATGGGTGCACCCTGAAACACCATCTTACATCTTACCAGCTTATAAGATGACCTCCATCAAACAACAGGTTGGTTTCCCTTCCCCTCCATATTTTTCAGGAAATCTTCCCATTTCTCAGCCATACACATCCATACACATTTTCCACCAGAAACTAAAAAGTCTGAATTAATTCTGTTTTGTCTTGTTTTGTTTTTTGTTTTTTTGTTGTTTTTTTTTTTTTTGGTGCTGATTGTCTTATAGCAAATGATGAGTAGCTTTGTTTTCTTTCTTTATCGGGCAAGGGGCATCACAGAAAAATGAAACAATGATATTTGGTGTCCCAAGTTTTAATCTATACCAAATTAACACTTTCTATACCACCTGCCATAATAGGAAAACCAGAAACATTATAGGCATTCTGTGTTTATTCAAACAGGCACTGCTGAAAATTTGCAACAGAAGTTCTCATTCTGCAGCTCCTCTTACCAATATGTTCTGTTCATCTCTTCTCCCCCCGTCTCCTTGCCTAGCCTTTTCCTGACTCCCATTCATTTCACTTTTTCTTATGATGTTTAAAAAAATCTTTCCAATGGTCCTCCCTGAAAAACTATAGTTATGAAGGGTTCATAGATCTATTTTTATTGCAGTTTTGTCTGTTTCTCTATTGCATGACAGTAAATTTGTTTTAGAAGTAATTATATCACCTGAGCTGAGTCAAGATCCAAAAAGAGATCTTCTATTCCTTGAACCATCTCTATCAACAGTATTGCATGGGAAACTACATTTGGTTAATGCCATCTGCATGCATGATGGACAGCTATTATCAATGACAAAAAGAACAAAAAATATAAAATATTAAGATGTTAGCTTGAGAAAAAGAAAATTTGCTAATAAAATAATTTCTGTATGGGATATGCATTCTGCATTCATCGATATGATGATCAGGCATTTTTTCAAAGAGAGAAACAATATGATATTAGTATTGCTAGCTCTTATTTTTTACTTTTTAATGCAAATATACAGTTTTTAAATTTTAAGAAATAAAATCTAATACAAAGCTACATCTTTATCCTCAGCTCTTGATTTTGGCTTTCATGTCTTCTGTCAATAATGACAATGTTACCTGTCAACCCCCAAATACTCTAAGCCCATTGCACTTTACAGAGTTTAATGAGCAGGATTGCCTGGCTCTCCCTGGCTTTATGATGTTGATCTTCATGCCAGGCAAGCTTTCAGGTCAGCCGTCTCTCCTACCACCCTTTTTCTCCTCCATTCTCCTGAACACATGCCAACACTTGTACATGCATGCAGTCTGCATGAATAGTGCTTTCCAAGTGCTTAATGTTTACTGAACAAACGAATGAGTGAATGAATAAGGTATATTATGGATGCATTTGTGAATTGCTGTATAATGAAGTTGAAGTAAAAGTTACAAGCACTGTGATTGACCACCTTTTACATGTGGGCTGACTTATTCCTTTAGCTGCTTTCTAAGAATGGCATTTGCAAATGATCTCTCTGTTTCCTTCCTCCTCCACACTATTTCCAAATTCTGTTTGATAATCTGGCATTAACAGACTGTAAATTCCTTTGTTCTGGAACCTGCCTTCTTCAAACAAAAAGTATAAATCCCTCTGCATGATCTTTCATTCTCAGCCTCTTAAATGTGCCTACCTTCACTATCAAACAACAAAAACTATTCTCATTAAAACCAATAATAACCTTCCAATTGCTAAATTCAACCATCTATATTCAGTCCTACATAACTTTGCTGCAGCACTTGGCACTGTTCGTTGTATCTTCCTCTTTCAAGAAAATGCCAGATGTAGGTGATGGGGAGGAAGGCAGCAAATCACACTGCCATGTGTGTTCCTATGCAACAATTTTGCATGTTCTTCACATGTACCCCAAAACCTAAAATGCAATAAAATAAATAAATGGGAAAAAAAAAAAGAAAGATAATCTTCCCGATGTGGAAGAATTACAAAGACAGTATCATCAGCTCCCCAGCAAAATATATATTTGTTCTTTATTGCCATCAAAAAAAATAAAAAAAAAAAAAAAAAAAAGAAACGGTATTCTGATATCTGTATATTCTACTCACCACATAGTCTAGCAATCTTCTGACCATTCCTGCTCTTTCATGTTGTTCATATATCCCTTATGTATGGGGTCCCAGAGCTATGACCTTCTAATGGTGGAAAAAAATACTCTCCCTTGTAGATATACTCCCATTGCAGATTTCAACTATGCCTTTAGCTTTCATCTATTTTCCAGCCTCTAAGTCAACATTTCTAATTGTCTGCTGGAACAATAAACTTTGATATTGTACAGCTCCAACTTAATATTGACAACAAAGTTCATAACACACACACACACACACACACACACACACACATACACACACACACTATTCTACGTATAATTCTATCAGAGGAATTCAGTTTTGTGTTCACTGGCACGGACTGGAGTCACACTGCTTGGGCTTCAATATTGGCTCTTGCATTACCAATTGTATGACTTTGGACAAATTACGTAACCTCTTTGTGCTTCAGTTTCTCACATGTATAGTGGGAATCATAACAGCTTCTCCTTTTTAAGAATGTTTTCAAGATTAAAAGAAGTAGTTCATGTAAAATATTTAGAATAGTGTCAAAAACATAATAATCACTATAAAGGCTGGCCATATTTAGCTATCATTGTAGTTACCACAACATAATTAACTTTTAAATCTATATAGCCCCACTAAACAATGTGCTCTATGATGGTACGAAATATTCCTCCTTCATAAGGTTTCTAAGTAGGTCCTAATACACCGAGAATGTTTAATGAAAGGTGTGTTGAATAAGTGAAAACCTTATCTGTATCCTATGTTCTCAGGTTAATTTATTGACTTTCTGCTATAAGAACCTCAGTTCTACTGCAGCTTCTTCCCTTCTGTTTCCCCAAACTTTCAGTGCTGAACATTCAACTCCCCTCTCACTCAGTCACTGGAATCTGCTGAGTCTGTGCTAGGGACCTCTACTTCCTATCTCCCCTGCCACTGAAAATCTTCATTTTACCTGCAATGAGCTCAATTTTTGTATGCTCCCAGATTCATACTTAAGCCCCTAATCCCACTGTTATAGTATTTGGAGGTGGTACATTTAGGAGGTAATTAGGTCACCAGGGTGGATCCCTCACAAATGAGATTATCAGTGCCCTTAAAGGAAGAAGCCAGAGAGCTCTCTTGTCCTCTTTCTGCCATGTGAGGACACAGCAAAAGTCAGCAGTCTGTAACCTGGATGACAGCCCTCAGCAGACTACGTCCTTGCTGATGCCCTGATCGCACACTTCCAGCCTCAAGAACTATGATAAATAAATTTCTGTTATTTATAAATGACCCAGTTTACAGTACATTGTGAGAGCAGCCTAAACTGAATAAGGCATCTCACTTGAACTATTAAAATTACTCCCTAACTGGTTTCTGTAACAAGACTCTTATAGATATCATTTCTAGGTTTCTTTCTTAAAAATAAAAAAATCAAGTATGTAACTTCCCAGGTTTAAAGCCTCTCTTGGTTGCCTGCTGCCAGAAAATAAAATTCAACCTCCCCACATTGACATTCAAGACTTTTCAGACCCTGGTTCCAGTATAAAACATCTCTTGCCACTTCCCTCAAGGCTCCTGCCACTTCCCTCAAGGCTCCTGCCACTTCCCTCAAGGCTCCTGCCACACTGAATTTCTAAATGTTCATCAAACATGCCAAGTTTCTGTAGCCTCCTAGCCTGCACAAGCTTGAAAGCTTTTTTTTTTCCCACTTTTGTCCGTTTTAACAACCCTAGGACAGTCTTAGTTTTTGAGATCCAACTCAAATGCTGATATTGCTACAAGTCTTTCCTGACACCCCAGGAAAATCTGTCATTCTCTTCTCAAAGATTCCACAGTTCTTTGTTCCTGTCTCTTAAGAACATTTGTCATGTTGCACTATTTGATTGTTTACCTGTATGTCTCTTCCATTAAACTACAGCAAACTCTTATCACAGCAACTCTCTTCCCCTCCCAAAAAGGCTGACCAGTGTAGGTAATGAAAAAATGATTACTAAACTCTTGATCCAATCAATCCACTCACTCATCAGATACTTTTAACACCTCCTCTCTATTATATATTGTATTATAGTTTTGGGTTAAAAAATAAAATATTCCTTTCTATAAACTAAATTATAATCTAGCCAAATAAAAAGACTTCCTTCATTTTTTTTCAATTGCAGGAAGTAGATTGATTAAAGAGAACAAGATTCCTGGGAGGTGGGTTAGGAGTGTGGAGAGGAGGTGATAATGAGAAATTTTTTCTTTCCATGAAAAAAGTGAGATTACCAAAATTGGGGACATTTTTTATTCCACTGGGAAGTATGACTTCCAGAAAATAAAAGGCAAGTGCTGTGAACTCAAGACAATGAATTTATCTCTAGCTTGAGATGCCAACCGTTTCCAGGCATGCTTAAAAATCATTTGCTGGAGTCTATCTTGCCTTTCTCCTAACCACTTCCTATATTTTCCCTCCTGTTTTCCCCAACTCTTATTGCTGAACATTTTCTGTAGGAAAGCAAGATTAGACAAGAAAAAGAGGAGATGTGGAGGTTGGTGGTAGGGAAATGCTTTATGGATTACAATGAAGGAATAATTTGTGCTTGCATATTTTGTATCAGTCAATGAGGTTTTTATCCCCAGTGTGCCTCGATGCAAGGCATAGGCTTGGTTTTGTTATCACACAGTGGTGTCACAGAGAAGGACACAGAGAAGAGCTGCAAAGGTAACTAGGTGCTTTCTACCTTCCCTAAATGTAGGAATAGACAGCAAAGGGGTCCTTATCTTCATTCTGTATTGCCCTTTTAGGAAAAATATTAGACAAATTTAAGGTAAAGTAAATTAACAGAAAGACTTGTCTACACAAATTCATGATGAATAAAATGGACAAACGGAGTAGTGGAAGGGGGACTTACATTAAATTTCAAGCACTGCTAACCAACTGTAAGATCTCACCTGAGGCACTTGTTTTCTCTAGGTCTGTTTTCTTTGCTGAAGACAAGGAAAGTGAATCATATGGACATTCCTTTCTGCTTTCATCAGAGATCAGGTCTGAATAAAGTCCAGAATTCTACATTTCTTCAAATGTAGCACATGTCAGAAAAAATGTGAAAACAAAGTCCAAGCTTAGACAAATGATAATTAAACACATAACTGCCACATAAAATGCAGGTGAAATTCTCATTCTTTCATTCTTAAATTAGAATTAGAGCTGGGATTATTTAACCAAAAATGCAGATTTTAGGAGGAAATTGAATTCTTTCCCACTATAAAGACTTTGTAAAATGGCAAAAACTAAAATTAATCATGCCCAGGTTCCTGTTTGTGCTTTAATATATGCATGACTCCATGTCATTTTGCAGTGCCTTCCTGTCCTTGACATAATTTTGTTTTATATAATTAACACAATAAACTCTTTCATAGAAAGGGGAAGATGTCTGCCCTTCTGGAGAAGCAAATTATCTAAACTGAATCCACTGTTATTTCCACAAACAAGCAAAGGAATTATTGCTACATTCCTTCTTTAACAGTTATAGACAGAGGATACAATGTTTCAGGCCTTTCCCCTTTAATCCACCCCTTTCTCACCCCTAGGGAAAGCCAAGCATTAGAAAGAGCACCTACTGGTTATACTTTTCACTTTTGCCCTCAAAACCATCTTCTACCTTGGTTGTTGGCTTGTTGAGTTAGTCCTCAAGGTCTCCATCTGCAAAGTGGCACTTGATAACCAGCTGAATCTAAAGCACACTAAAACTGCTTGTTCTTATTTTTAGACTTTAGTTCCCTAAATGAAACAAATGAGTGTAATATTAGTTACACCAATGACACCACTAAAGCATTCATTGAGCTTCAATAATAAGTGTAACAATAACAATAAAATTTTATGGCTCCTTTTCTCAAAGGAAATTAGAACACTTTACCAACATTATTGTCTCATTAAACCTCATGTCTTTGAAAAATGGTGCAGCATTGTGTGGATGGAAGGGTATAAGCCAGGGAGTCAGACAGAGCTGTTTTCCGTTTACCTACCTGGAAATCATTTAGGTAATGAGTAAATGAGATAATGTACATAAAGTACATGCCTGCTGGGTAAGCACTCAACACATAATTCTCTTTCCTTTTCTCTCTCTCTGCCCACCAGCCATTCTCTCCCTCCCACCGCTCCTGCAGCCACTCTCCATTTTTTCGTTATAGAGTAATGCAAGTTGAGACAAGTTTGTCAGGTTTTGTGGGGAGTTTAATCCCCTCTGAGAAAAAAAAGAATGCATAAAACTTACTATACTTGTCCATCTGGTATGCATGGGCACGTACAGCTCCTAGCTTCACCAAAGTTTCCAGAAGGTAGGACAAGTAACTCCTCTCTCAGCATTAATCTTACTAGGTTCAGAAGAGTCTTAAATTTGAGTCATCATAATATCTATACTTTGGGCCCTGGGTGGAAGAAGAAAATCTCTTAAGTAGAGTGTATTAGTCTGGTCTCATGCTGCTGATAAAGGTGTACCTGAGACTGGGTAATTTATTTAAAAAAAAAAAAAAAGAGAGAGAGATTTAATGAACTCTGAGTTCCATGTAGCTGGGGAGATCTCCCAATTGCAGAAAGCAAAAGTCATGTCTTACATGGTGGCAGGCAAGAGAGAATGAGAGCCAAGTGAAAGAGGAAACCCCTTATAAAACCTTTAGATCTTGTGAGACTTATTCACTACCACAAGAATAGTGTGAGAGAAACCACCCCATGATTCAATTATCTCCCACTGAGTCCCTCCCACAACACTTGGGAATTAATGGGAGCTACAATTCAAGATGACATTTGGGTGGGGACACAGCCAAACCATATGACAGAGTTAGGTCGAAAACTAACATGGAATGCGATCTACCATTCTAATAATTCAAGCTATAATCTGCACGTCTGATTTTCCGTGTGTATGTTCCTGTGGTTGTCCAAAAGCATTTACTAAAGTCTTATCTAAATGTTGCAGCCTTCCCCTGGGGCATTGTGAGAAAGACTGCATGCTTGGGCAGGATGTCAAACAGCGAGCAGTGCATCCACTTGAGGCCAGCACAATGGTGTTGGGGTGCTGGTGGTGGGTGGAGAAGGAATAATTACAAGAGCATCTCCACCTTCCAACACACTGCATCTTGGAATCAAAGACAGGTCTTTACCCTCAACTGACTTTTGCTCACCCTAGACACCTGAGTGGAGATTGTCTCCATTTCCTACCTAGGAGAAGTAGGGTTTTTGGATGTGCAAATTGTTATGTTTTATCTTCCAGAAGGTAGTGTAGTACATTTTGAAACACATGTAGATGAAATAATTTATCAAGAAAGAGTCAGTCATATAGCTGTGCCCAAGAGTTATTAAACGGTGTTCTTTCAGACATAACAATTGTGTAACTGCCCAGTGAGTTCTTCCTGCCTACTGCAAAAACAAAATCAATTCAGAGAGACCATAGCATTGCAGTAAACAGTTTAATTGACATGAGACCAGCCACTCCACATGGAAATGGAGTTATGACTCAAATCAATCTCGCCACAGGCGCAGAGGTTAGGGGTTTTTCAAAGATACTTTGGTAAGCAGAGGGCTAAGGCATGAGTGCTGCTAATTGATTGGGGATGCAATAATAGGGAAGATGTAGAATACAGTCCTGTGGTGCTGGCTCTGCTTCTGAGTGGGGGCCACAGGACTGGTTGAGTAACAGGTCTGGATGGGGTCATTAGGTAGTCAGAAATGCAGAAGCATGAAAAGACATCTCAAAAGCATGGTCTCAGGTTCTCTCTCCCTCTCTTTCTCTCACTCTCTCTCTCTCTCTCTTTGAGATAGTGTCTCATTATGTTGCCCAGGCTGGAGTGCAGTGGCACAACCACAGCTCACTGCAGACTTGATCTCCCAGGCTCAAGCAATCTTCCCACCTTAGCTTCCTGAGTAGCCGTGACTACCGGTGCAGGCCACCATGCTTGGCTAGTTACTATACTACAATAATGATGTCATTTACAGGAGTAATTGAGGAAGTTGCAAATCTTGTGACCTCCTGAATAATGGCTGGCAATTATTTAGTTAAATCTGCATCATAGTAGAATTCAGGTCATTCTCATCCTCCTAACTTGGGGGATCTTTCATTAATTTTACAAGGGCAGCTTAGTTTGGGGAAGGGCTATTAACATTTAAACTATAAATTAAATTTCTTCCAAAGTTAGCTTGGCCCATGCCTAGGAATTCAGTGAAGACAGCCAGCCTGTGAGTCCAGAAGCAAGATGGCATCAGCCATGTCAGATTTCTTTTTCTGTCACAGTTTTGCAAAGGTGGTTTTACTTGGACAACCTGACACACCAGGAGGTATTTAGATTTGTGAGATACTAAACTTGATGGTGTCCTAGAAACTTGTGTAGTACATAAAATAAATCATGGCTATAGGAGTTATCTGAATCTTAATGGAATTGTGATGTCCAGTCACTAACTTGAGAATCATTTTCATTGTCCATAAGAATTGAGCAAATTTTTTGAATCTAAAAACACACATGAAAAAATAAAATTATAAGAAATACAGCTTCAGATCAGAGTAAATGGGAGTGTGGTGAATAACCCTTTAGAAAGTCACTACATGGTGCAATGGTGATTGATTAAGTTAGTACTTTAAGATGCAAATTGTATAGCTTGGCTCAAATAATTACAAAGAAAGACAATAATAATGTAATATTATATGGTTGTAGATTTTAAAGATGGAGGAGCAAAAGAATGTGTGGCTGCATTTTTAAATGATATAACAAAGCAGAACAATGTGAAATTAGGCAACAGAAAAGGTGGACTGTTCTCTATGACATTTTCTCAACAGGGAGATGTATTACTGAGGACTAGATTCTCCCCAGGGCTCTGGTAAATGCTTCACTGCATGTGATTTCACACAAAATACATAAAGCTGCTATTGCAGGTGGACAAGGTGACCTGACAGGTCTCCTGTCTCTAATTTCTGTGATTTAAAGGTTCTGTGCTATTACCCAGCAAGATGCATGGCTCTTTAGTGATTCCATTTGCAAAATGATCCTACAGTTTTTTTCTTTTAGCTTCCACCTTTGCAGAAATAGTTTTTCTTTCACCTAGGCAGTAAAACTCAAATATTATAGTATTCAGCAACACAGGATTAGGGATGGTGCAGAAGGAGGGTTAAGCAGGATTAAATGTTTGCTTACAAGGGAAAAAAAGAGTGAAAGAATTGGGAGGAAAGGTGAAATGATCATCACACAGTATAAAAAAAAAAATAAGTTTCCCTGCATCTAAATGGAATTTCGAGTTAGACATTATATTGCTTTTAAGAAAAGCTGTACTGAGTGAACTGCACATTAATCTTTCTTTTGACAAGACTAACGGAAAACAAACAAAGATACTAATTGAACACTGGCTTATTGAAGTTCTCAGATGGTAATTTAATTCTCTAAGGAGTCACAGGGTAGTGAAAACCTTAGGATGATACTGAACATCTACAACTTGTTAAAAGCCTTTTAATGGCAATTCTGGAATGTAATCCATGCATGTCATTTGCATGATCTATGAAAAGCTTTATCTTTTGGTCCAGATGGACTTGGATTCACAGTATGTAAAACCTTCAGAAATCAACCCTTGCTGAGTTTCAACTATAAGTACAAGACTTAGTCTGAATCCTTTATTTCCTTTTGTAAATGGGGCACATCATGAATAGCGTGTATCAAAGGTGATTGTGGGTTGCCAGAATAAGAAATTTTTACCTGGATTTTAATGCTATAAACAAGACTAGAACAGCATGAGGGCTTCTTCATTAATTACATACTAAGACAGTATTCTACTATAGAAACATTAGGTTTCATGGATCATAAAAGCATTTGTGATAAACTCCCTGGATCTGGGATCCAGAATGAAGAAAGAAAAAAAAAACAATACAACATATTTCTTCTTACCCAGCCCCCAATCCCGTTTCCTTTTCTTTCTGCTACACTCTCAGACATTGTCTTAGAAGCATCAACCAACTTGAAATCCTGGTTGTAGCAAAGCAACCGCAGGTAACCAAAGAACAAAAAGAGGCAGAGCAATGGCTGTTGGACTTCCTGGAGCACACGAAAGCCTTCATTTTCCTCAGGATTTGGATGGAATAAGAAACCCTAAGTGTTTGCTGAAGAACAAAAGTGTCATTTTTCACATCAGCATCAGTTTGCAACCTTTGACTCTGCTGCTGTTCTTCACTGCACACTCGCTATAATGGATCAGTTCGCTGATTCGCATCCTCTGTTTCCTTACATTTTACTTGTGGGTATATTTTTCAGTATTTTTTCCCTGAAACTTTTTATATAGCTCTTTGTAGCAGTTATGGTGTAATTCTGTAACTATTAATATGTGTACGTATTTATATCTCCACATAGAATATATAATGAGTTCCCAAAGTTTATCCCAGAGTTAGTGACTTCTTAAAATGTTTGTTCAATGAAGAAAATAAATACATAAATGTGTCAGCAGTTTTATTACTGCTTATCATAATTGTGAGTAAAAGGAATGTCTAATTCTGTGAGTACAAGCCAGGGATAGAAGGGTTCTGTTTTTGAGGTAACCTTGAACTATTCTTACAATATACTTACAGAGAAGTTGGCAAGCCATTACTTGGAAACTTCTTCCAATAGGAATCCTAAGGCCTTACTAAATGTCAATTTCTTCTGTGCACAATCATTACAAATTTTATATACATGGGTATGATATACATCTCTTAGAAATGTCCTCTGATTGAAATCAGTTCTAGCATATGAGTCCATTCAGAAAAGAAAAGTTCCCATTAAAATTGAAAACAAGACAAAGGTGCTATAACATCACATCAAAAGTCCTAGCCAATACAATAAAACAAAGACAATAAATAATAAAAAGAAAAATACAAAATGTTCCTTCAAATATACAATACTCATAAAAGTTCCATACAAAACTATTATCTTATTTGGTTAAAAGGGAAATTCAGCCAGGTTCCTTATAAAAAGATCAACATATAATCATCAGTATCAGTTTAAATCAGTAATAAATGCTTATAAAATATAATTAACCAGGGATTTATTTACAATAGCCACCAACAAGGAACAAAATCTCAGTATCCAATGGTCTTGTCTACAAAGTAGACATCTTTTCCAACTTCCTTGCTAACAGAATTCTTGTGGTGTTAGATTATTATCTCTAAAAGTAGAGGACACCATTTTCAGCTCAGCAGAAAATTCTAAAGAAGACTAAGTTAATCACTGACTTTTGTGATTCTTTTCACACACAATTGGCTTTTGGGTAGCCAGTGAGACTGAGAAATGTAATGATGTTCCTCAGAAAGATTTGTTGCTTTCAACATGTAGAGCCAGTAGCTTTTCAACTAGTTCTTTTCATGTTTGCATGTGATGCCATATGGCAGCCACCCAATGGGAAAGAAGGGAACAAGCTAAAGAAT